TTACGCATACTTCACTCATTAATAGATTGCGGATTTTTATGCAAAATACAAATAGTCTGCATTGGTTGCAAGAAATAAAGCTTAAATAGTAAGTTAATTTCTTCTTTATTCATTTTAGTGGATTAAAAATAATAAATTGATATTTTAAGATATCTTTAATCTCTTTATACTATTTTGAATTATATCTACTCATTTGTGCCATAAATGCATGAAATTCGCAGTCTACTCATTAAGTCAATCTAATTCTTAAATCTAAATCGTAACACTTCATCCACTGGAACCTCATTAATAGAATTTTCAATTACTGTGCTATACTAAGAGGAATCTTAAACACATCTCTTTTTGTACATGATAATTTCAAAAAAAAGCTTTAATTTAAATCTTAAATCTAAACTTAAATCTGAATCTTAAACCTAAATTTAAAACTAAATCTCAAACCCAAATTTAAATTTAAATATCAAAACTAAACTTAAATCTAAATCTCAAACCTAAACATAATACTAAATATTAAACCTAAACTTAATGTTAAATATTAAAATTAGATTTAATATGCTAACTATCAAACCTGGAGTTAATGGTAAATACACTTTAAACCTAGCTCTATTACTTACGTGATAGCTCTGTACATATATGTATAACGAAACATCCATAACATTTCGATAATACTACGGTTAGTCACGTTTCTAGTTTCACGTTTACTCGGATGTAATAAATTAATCCTTTTTCTAAAACGCTGAATACCTGTGATCGGCTGTGCAGCTTCGTTTCCCATTCTTCAAGGTCTATGCACCGACCTCGTGACACACATTTTAGCACAGCAAGCGGATCTCTAACTAAATAGGTGAAATTTCTATTAATTTCCTATTAATTACTAACTTGTACAAGCTTCCAACTCGGTACAAAGCGAACACTACACTAACCGTATACCGCCATAGTGCCAAAATTCGTAAGCCGCACTCGCTCTCTGAGTGGTTCGTGTCATTCGTTAATAACTCGAAACGTTACATACAAAATTATCGTAACTAATTTGTTATAGTAACAATTTGGCATAGTCGGGACACGGTACAGTTATGTATTAATGGACCTTAATTCGGATGAAACACTAACCGACGCACAGCGGAGCCACTGCGCGCTAAACGCAGTAAAAAACATTTTATATCTTGAATCATGTATATATCTCTTTATATCTTATCTTATACAATGTAAATATGTATTTGGGTAACCAACACTTTGAACTAAACGCTTCGATAAAACACCTCATACAATACACGACACTCGCGAAACCCAACAAGACAAATCCTCGAATTGTGTGATTTGTCTACAGTTTCATAGCATTCGAGACAAAAATTGTGAGAAATAAAAAACGCAAAAAGTCTTGCGTTTCCAAAGTGTTGCAATGCTTGGAGTTTCGAGTTGCGAGCGTATTCCAATACGCGATTATTTCTTTAACTTTGGTATTGGCAGCTAGTGTTTTTTTATTTTTTAAATAAAGATAAAAATTCAGTCCATAGAATACGACTAAAACGAACGCTGAATGAAATTTAAACATATTTTGTTAAGTATGACTGAAAAAATAGCAGAGAGATAAAAACGAAATTTAGTGTAATTCAAGTATACATATATGTACTAGGTCAATGGTCGGCAAATACCAACAGTACAACAGTACAGCCAAATTTATTAAACTTAAACTGTACAGATAGGTATATTGTTATTAACTTAATTAGGGTATTCCTAAGCTGGCCTTTGCTAAAAACGTTTCCAATTTGATTGAGGTAGAAAGAGCTACACTCAAGGGACCAGAGAGCCGAATGTGGTTTGCGAGTCGCGGTTTGCCGACCGATGCACTAGGTAGATTTGATTTTGTCACGCATTATGTAATTTAAAAAAACAACACAATTATAAACGACGATTTTATTTGGGAACGATTTCGAAATGGGTTACTTCAGGATCCTCAACTCGTCACCAAAATTAATAAGTGGTAAAAAAAAGATCATGTCAAATCATAACTCACATTCCCAACAAGCAATATGCGACGGTGAAATGCCTTTGACAAGGGATAGAATTAGATATTCTGGAGGTTATCTATCTGTTATACCGGATTTCAGTGTCTCAAACACGGAAATATTTATTAATATAAAGCGCATTGCTGTTAATGGCAATATTGTCGCAAAAAAATAAAGGTAACACTACATTAATCCTAAGAAGAAACGCCATTACTTCGATTCCAATGTTAATAGAAAAAGTATGAGTCCTGTGCGGACGGAAATTGGACACCACATCCATTGAAACAAAACGAAATTCTTCTAAACAACGATCAACTGAATGTATAAACCACTTCACTGAGCGATTTTCATTTACGTCTGATTTGTACAAGAATGACAAAAATTGATTTAGACTTTTCTCTGTTATTATTATGCATGAATTAAGAAATCTATTCAATCATTTCCTGCAGAAGAGAGAGAGAGAGTCTTCATTTACAATCTCTAAGAGTTTTATAGTCTCTAAATAAAGATGAATAAAATTGCGATATCTATTCACGCAAAAATTTGATACGTTCAATACAAAATTACAATATATGCATGTTTTCTAGTTTAACATATTATTACCATTGCGGTATAATTTATGTGATGATATTGTAAACGAGATATGTAAATACATACCTATAAATAATATACATAGATCCAGATTTATAAAACGATAGGTTTTTAAATATATTTTTATTGTTTCGTATCATTTTATTAAAAAAAAAAACACGTCTTAATTTTATCATGTAACCATTTAAGCGTGAGCAAAAAGACTTTTATGTACATAACTTGAATAGTATTAAGTGGCCAGCATCCCATAGGATTCGTTTTTTTCTTAGTTTTTATTCGTTTTTGCATTCTTCTTAAAACGTTTAACCTTCATTTTCGATGTTCGAGGTTATTTGAAAGTCACGTCACAGTTCAATACGAAAATATATGTAGTTATTAAAAAAAAAAAAGATATCGTTGACGGTATTTTACATTTTAATATAAAGTTCTTATTTCAAATAAGTGGTAACGCTATAAAATTCCAGGAAACGCCACTGTTTTCTCGACAAGTAATTGATGTTGTTTCAGTAATTCTAGGATAAGGAGTGTCATAGGTAGTGTTCAACTGTTCAAGCCGAACGAGCTCCAGTTACATCCGGCTTGAAATCTGTCCAGCTTGAATTGGACCGATGTAAAATTTCAGAAGCTTCTCGGGTATTTTAGAATCTCTTTCTCGAGTCGTCATTTTCGTAAACATATTAATTTTAATGCAAAATTATTAAGAAATGATATATTAGATTTAAGTACAAAAATGGAATTAGTTTCCTAATACTATATCTAAAATACAAATAATAAAATATTGGAAATAAATAATTATTTGAAATTGTTATTTTCGTCTTTGCATCGAAATTTGTTCGTGAACAGTATTCCGTGTCTCAGATATGCAACGCGGTTAGTAAGTCGAATCAACATGTGGGCAACAAAGTCTATGAGCGCACTACATATGGTTCTGGAAACCTTAGACTAGTTTTTCGCAATGGAAGCAACTATGACGATTTCCACCTATAAAAGGAATCGTTTGAAAAACCACTTGGAAATACCCTGGAAAGTCACTATACAGGACGGTTAAGTCAGATGAACGTTATTTTAAAACATAGTAATTCGTAATAAAATAACAGAAGAATGGTAGGGTGTATGAGGTTGGAAACATATTAAAAATCCGCGTGCACAGAATTATCTACATGTAGTGCACGTAACACATGGATATTTCCTCAAATTAACCATTTGTGGTCGATTTGGGTGATACTCTGATTGGATTCAATTTCCATTGAACGAAGACTACTAATATGATCTCGTATTATTATTATTATTATTGTTATTATGAAAAAATGTTGTTTACTATATGTATACTTATAAAGTCTTATTAACACCAAGGAGATTATTAAGAACTAGCAAACACTAAAAGCAATTAATTAATTAATTATAATTCGTATGGTCCTATGAGTATTACTTGATTTTGTATTTACTCAGATTTCATACGATTATAACGTACCTAATATAACGTACTATGGGAATTTAACGCTAGAACCACAGAATCCTTCAAATAACGGATTCCAGGTATTCTATATGATGCCAATGTTTATAAAATTACAGAATAAAAAATAGCCTTATCTGTCTTGATGGCTGAGTATATAATACAGTATTTATTGAATTAAAAGCGAAATTCATGAGAAATGTCAAACTCGACGTTAAAAAAATCGTCACCATGAAATAGTAAAAAAGTTTAAATTCGTTACTTTTGTATTACCAATGTAATATCGAACTCTTCTCTTCGTAATAAATCTTCATAAATCTTCAATCTTCAAATCAGTATAAGTATATCTAAAATACGACTCGCAAACCTATTTCAGTGCTGTGAATAATTATAGACTCGAACAGATCTTGTAGTCATTCACAATAGTAAAACAGAAAATGACTAACATAATGACTGTAACATAAAACGAAACGTTGAGGAATCTGAGAAATTTAATCAAAGTTGTGGAAAGGTATAAACTCAATATTAATTTTCATACTTTTTCATTTAATATTTAATGGATTCTCCATTGTTATTTCTTAAATACATTAACAAACAACATTCTTCACAGGTTGATAGGGGTGATTGAAAACGAAAGAAAATTCATGAAATGTGAAATAAGAAAGTTATGAAGACTAATACTGAGTTCATATTTTTCGACAGGTGAGACCATCAATTTCACGGAAAACTTAATTTTTTATCAGGTTACGAAATAAGTCGCAGAGTTTAGCCAATTTCTGTTTTACTGTTATGAATGACTACAAATTGTGTTTGTATTTATAATTATTTACAGCACTGCAATTTAAATTCGATTAGAATGTAAGAATCAGACAAGAGATCGCCTTTTCGGCAGATGGTGTCACCACATATTAACGACCGACTCTAGCGCTACAATGCAATGAAACATTACATACCTTTTGTTTTGGAGATTCAGGTACTTGGGTAATCCTCTCTTCTTCGGCTTCCGTTGTTCTATTTACAGCGGGTCGGCTCGGAGCGGATCCTGAAAAGAGTGACAAGATGAATTAAAGTAGACTGGAGAAAAACTAAAGGATAAATCTATAATTTGTATCAGGTTTAGAATTAATTTAATTTTGACACTTTTCATCAAGATGAACTTTATTTTTAGAAATAAAATTTGTGTTTGAAAAATTGTTCTGTTTTTTAATTGAGGTTATTCACTGGTCCAAACTTTATTCTTTAACGAAAGTACTCGTTCAGTGTCGATATTAGAGTTGGGTAGATATTCGCAAAATTTATCAATTTTAAATTATTTTAGTTATATAGGATTACAAATGGAAAAATGCAAACTTCGCTACATGACTATAAAAAACACGTGTAATTGTAAAGATAAACTTACCAACAAATGTTTGATAGAACTGTGAAAGATATGTTAAGATTGATAATCGATCTGGGACGGAACAAGCAGCCATGTCTTCTGCATCTAATAATGCTGGTATTCCCAAATGTTGCTCTGCTGTTCTGAAAGCCAGCTCATTGTTTCGATATACGTCGTTCTTATCTAAACTGTCGAAATCGCTGAAATGAAAAACGAAGTCAATATTATTACTATTTGTATTACTAGTCTGTAGATTCTATAACCTTGACAAAAATGAGTAGATCAAATACAGAATTGTAAAAGCATTAGAAAAATTTAATTTATATATATATATTATTATATATATTTTATATCTATCTATCTATAATATATTACTATTATTAAATGAAGAAAGACAATTTCATCTTATGTTTCTTCCAATTGACTTGGACAATTTTTTATTTTACATAAAGACTCGCAGTCTATTTGTCACCGTTGTCATTGTAAATAAATATTATATTCAGTACATATAGACTTACATCAGATCTGGCCGGAAATGATGAATCATTGCACAAAAAGCAAGCCCATCTTTCCAAGATGTTGTCATGTTTTGCACATTGACGCCAGAATAACCGTCGGTTATTCGTCGGCACCAAAGTTCTAATGCTTTCGTGCCTCGTTTTTCACCCATTTTTTAATTTTAATTTCTGCCTTGCCTTTCGCGAAATTTCTCTTCAGTTTGGTTTCTGTTTATTTTCTTGACAATGAAGAATATACTTTGTAGTCTGAATGTTTAGCGTGTAGCTTCTGAAACAAAACATACATAATTGTTATAAATTCCTATTAAGCTAAACATAATTGACAAACGTAAATTATTTTTGTTGTCATTGTAATCAATTGCAATTTTGGCAAAAATTGTTTCAGTCATTGTCTAGGTTATTTTATATAATTAGTCCCTCTGACATTTATAAAATAATTTTAGTCATTTTATTCAATTTTTAGAAAGTTATTCTCTTTGAAAAAGTGTTCGAATACTAATGGAATTCTTCTACCAGAAACATTACCGAAACCAAGATAAACTACTTTCAATACTCTCCTTACCAATGTTTTTTTTTATTTAAAACACCATTCTGTAATTTATTTAAAACACCATCTCTACTCTTTCATTTAAAGGTAACATTAAGGTGAAAAAGCCAAAACTCTATCATTAATTTTCACAGTTATTGCTTAAGATATTTAGATGAAATAAAAGTAAAAATGAAGCTGCTTCATTTAGAATATTATTTTCGGAATTTTAAATCAATTATTATGGATTGAAAAAAGAATTTATTATCAGGCCTAGTTTTTGCTAACCATCCTTTGAGTGACCATCTTAAAAAAAATCGGGAATAATATACAATATATAATAATAAAAAATAAAAAAATATAATAATAAATAAAATGATGATAGCAGTAATAATAATAACGGCGCCATTAATAAAAATTATTCAAGCAGTAGAGAATACTAAAAAGCTATAATATTACTCTATGATATTTTTCGGCACTTGGTACTTCGGTACTCTATGTGACTCGGTCACGATTACGATCGCGGCTGGCCGCATGGGACCATTTTTAACAAGGAGCAACTCGCACTATGTTATATGCGGCCAGTTGGCCGCGTGGCCTCGTGTTTATTAATTGTCAATCAATTTTTGCCACTCACATCAGATTCACTCGCAATATGGATATCGATAAAGTAGCTATATTGCTGTGTATTTGTATTCTACAATAAAACGCAAGAGACAAGTATATTGTATAGTTCTCATATTACAAATTCCATCGATAAAAGGACAATTTGCTCATTTCTTTTGTGAATTATGCGATTATAAAATTGAAGAGAAATTCACTACACAAGAATGTTAAAAGTTTCAGTAAATTACTTGTCAAAATTGAAGACAGCATCAGGGGTACATACATAGCAATGCGACTATGCACAGAAAATGAAGAAAAACTACTTCTTATATTGAGGTAAGTTTTATTTATGTACACTATTTTATTACAAAAACGGAATCATTATTATTACAGTTATTATACGGGCGAAAAAGAAAAAATTAGTATAATATACTAATGACTAAAATTAACATTAAAACTAAGACTAAAACTAAATCTAGAACTCAGAACTAAATCTTAATAAAGCTTTGAGGAAACATGAAAAAAAGATAAATAAAGGGAGTGTTGATATGAAACAATAATGAATTAACTTTGTTGAGAATCATCAAAACATAAAAATAGCGAAGATCCAGCAGCATCGTCATCATTACTTTGTTCGCTGCTACCTGCCGTTGACCGTGATGTGTCAAAAATTTCTTCGAAAGGGCATTGTGATGTCGAACATCCTTGCTGATACATCTGTAGTTGAAGGATCTGGAGTATTATAGTATTGTTGCGAACATCCCTGAAGCTGAGCTTGCTCAAGAGTATTTATAAATTGTCGTTTCACCGACAGTTTTTAGTGCTGGGGCACTTTTTCTAAAATCGTTGACTAAAGATAACAGAAATAATTTGCCCTCATCTTTTTCCTTTTAAAGCGTTGATCAGTTGTTTACCGACTTCTACTTGTAGTTTTTTTTCTTTGCAAGTACTCTAGCTTCGTATGGTCCTCTTGAGCTTTCAATATTTGGATATGTCGCTATACCCTCGGCATCCGCAGATATGCTAGTCTGAGTGCAGGTTTGCGAATTTCCACCATTTAAAAATGATAGCATATTGTAATAAACGTATGCTGACTTTCTCCCTACTGCAGAACCGCTTTTAGCGCCATTCAATCTTCTTCTGTCTCTATGATATGAGTCCTTAATATTGCGCCATTTCTTCTGTAACATCATACCTATAACAATAATAATCTTATCATTATTACTGTAGGGTTATTGATCTACACAATGATTATAATCTTTCTTTTCAGATGTCTGACATCAGGAAATTCATTTGTGGATTTGCATCATGTTTTTCGAATTGGCGTTGCAACTGTAAGAGAAATTGTAGGAAAAGTTTGTGTATCCATCTGGGAGTTACAAATTGCAACAGAGTTTGAACCTATGGCAGATTTTCCAAACTGCCTTGGCACAGTAGGTGGAAAACATAAAAGAATTGTAAAAACAGCAAACAGAATTATATGTCCGTATGTTGACCGACGACTGGATACTAATGAGGTTTTTAATTGCCGTCTTTTTTTAGCTAGACGTTTCGCAGAGCATTCGTTTGGAATAATGGCTAATAAATGGCAGATTATAGACACTGAGAAATAATATTGTGTTTGGTACAACTACGTTCGAAGTAGTAACCGTATACTTCTGTACGATATTTGTGTAGCTTTCCAAGATCTCACGAGGATCATTTACTACGAACATGCAGACGTCCTAACAATTTAAAATACAGAAATTCAGTCGCAGATTATTTCCTAAAAGAAGAAGCAGTTCATGATAAAATGATTGTATTTAATTAGTGTGAAATAGATGCTACTATTTGTGTAATTCTAATTCTAATCAAAAAAGTTTGTTCACATACTTACATAGTGTGTTTGTTTCTGTTGCGCTCTCGCCGTCAACAAACAACATGGTGATTTCTTCCCATATTCTCTTCTTTAAGAGTTTATTGGAATAGTCATCTGATGACAAATTCCACAACGCTGGCCTCTCTTTAATAACTAAAATGAATTTCTCTGTATCGAAATCCATATTCGACACCACGACGAGAACTTACAGAAACGCGAGTAAATACGAATCGCGAATCAATCGATGTCTATTTGCACAATGGCCGTTTGCCGTTAAATTTTGACCGCAAAAATTGTTTGATAATTGATAAACACGTGACCATGCATGCTTTTCGAATAATGGTTGCATTAGGCCTAAAAATTGACTATGACGCAAGCAAACAGTATTCTGAAAGGAAAGAAAGAATGAATGAACGAATGAATGAATGATAAAGATTCGCAATCTAGTAATGATTTGGTCAGAAACCTGCAATCCATCGTGGATTCTCTTCAATTATCGCTCAGCTTGTAAACAAAAATGATCGATTATTCTAGTCTCGCGCCTCATTTTTATAGTTGTTTACAATCGGCAACCATAAAAACGAGCCGCGAGGCTTGAATAATTGTATCCCATCTTCCCAAGTTGTCCATTTTTGTTTACAAGCTGAGCGACAATTGGGGAGAGTTTACCATACTACCCAATTGATATTAGAGTTTAGATTATTAAAAAAATTTAGTTCAGTTTATTTTAATGATTTAAAGCTTGACAGGAAAATGGGTACCGTGGACTAAATTTACATAACTGTACGTGGAAATTTTTGACTAAATATTAGAAAATAAGAATTTTAAATAAACTATTGTTCGTTTCTCCATTGCATTAATTGTAAATTTATAATATTTATCTTTCAGTTCTCGTTCATCAAATACTTATGTCCAATGATCATTTTGTTTGACCATTATGTTATTGTGTCATAAACAAATGTCAATTATCTTTTCTATTTTTACTTCAAATTAAACCAATTTAACGATAACATATGTGTTTCATTCATACAGTGCTCTATTACATATAATAAAATTTGGTATTTCCTGTTATCTTCGTGTAGTATTATTATGTTATGCTTTTAATTGTGTGTAATTCGGCGATGTTGTATTATTACATTTCCGTTTTGTAGCTGTGCTACGTTTCAAGGAATATATGCTAACAATTTAAAAGGACACGTGCTAACGAAACATCTAGAGGAGATAATTATGATAAAAAGTGTCAGCTTACTTTTAATTAATAATTATGCATAGGAAAAAGTAAGAACGTAACCAATCAATCTATATTTCGTATTACTAATAATCACTTTAATGCTGACAATTTCACATGTTTCCTCAAATTTTCATTTCTTGGAAATTAAGAATGACAGAGGAAAACTGTTCTCACATTTCTATTCAGCGTATCGAAGTCTAGGAAATCGACCTATTGGGACGTTATTGGAACGCAGAAGGAAAAAGTTACAATGGTATAGTGCCATTAGCAACTGACAGCGATAGGCAGACGTGATTTCTCGATAATTGGTTTCACAATTGTAACGATTGCGTTTCAGTTAGTCCGTGCACTTTCCATCACACCTTATTGTATACAAGGACAACACGAAACTACGCAACTACATACATACACACGACATATGGTACACCAGTAAAGATCATATATCGTAAACTTTCACTTTAATACCGGTTAATGGAAGAATGTACAGATAAACAGCCGAACATTAATTCAGAGACGAAGATTAAACATTATGTTGACACAGAACTTTATTGTTTTCAACAATAACGAAACGAAAAATCAACCTTATTGGAAATACAATGCCGACTGATGTAAATATCACGCAAAGGAAATAAAGAATCTGGTCATACGCTCTACAATTTTCACATTCAATTGTATGGAAAAACGAATCGTGTAATTATAAAAAATAAGATATTTAAAAATATACCATTATTGTGATCAAATTAAACTGATTTAAGTTAAATTAGCTTGTTTAAAAACTGTTTCAAATGTTTCACCCATTCAAGCAAACTATAATTAATAAACAAACATGTTTCTGTAAAAGTCAGGGTTTCAAATATACAGGTTCCTTCTGTTTTGAAAAAAATTTCTGTTCGAACTTATGCGTTCCGTTCAATAAAATATCTGTTTGTTAGAAAAGCTATAGGTATTTATAGATAGTTGTGCGCGATCTTTGCCCAACGAAGGTTTGGAGGTATGTAAATGCTGAGCGGTCAATCACAGTCCTCTTACCAAAAGGTATCGCCTTCCAAACTTTGTGGCCAGATCCTTCGGGAACAAAGTCCCAATTCTTTGACAAGGCAATGTCGGGCCGCTTGCCTTATTCAAACGTACATTGTCTCAATCAGCAACCTGAGACGCCCGATAGCTGGAAAACCCAACGTGGTCTCCAACCGTCGTTCGTCGCCAGGCCTGATTATACAGGGTTCCCCGGAAAGAATCATCCGATTTCAAAAATTTATATTTTAAAAAATTACACACAGAAAATTATAATTCAAACATGAATATAACGGGAAAAGTTTTACATTGTACCAAACCGTTGGATTGGTCGCAGTTCATCCGATAATATGGTTCTACACAGTTGGCCTCCGAGATCACCCGACCTAACCCCATGCGACGTCTTCCTTTGGGGATTTGTGAAGGATCTTGTCTTTGTACCACCTTTACCTACAAGTGCAAATGAACTGAAAAAACGCATTTTTTACGCATTACCAAAGATACATTACACCATACCAGAGATACATTACACCGTGTTTGGCAAGAACTTTCATATCGCAATTTTTTTTTTCATTCGTGTAACGAAAGGAAGTCATATTGAACACTTGTAAACAAAAACTCACACATTTTCCCGTTATATTCGTGTTTGAATTATAATTTTCTGTGTGTAATCTTTAAAATATAAATTTTTGAAATCGGATGATTCTTTCCGGGGAACCCTGTATGTATGTATACACTTACTCTTGAGGTCACGTGCATCTCCAGACCCTATCGTAAAATCTGTCAAAGATCCTAGTTCGGTAATTCTTACCGAACTATCTCTCTCTCTCGCTCTCTCACACACTAAAAATGTGTTGCTGCTAACATGTTCCTGTTAAAGTTTTACAAAAAGAGTTCTTTCCTCTTGGGAAATTTAAAAAGAAAATGTTCTCATCTCAAACTCCGAGTTATTATGTAGTGGATTTAGTTAGCAAAATTACCTAATATTGTCGAAAAGTTAAAGAAGCGGTACGAAGATCGAAACATAAATATCATAGTTTTATTCGAAATATTGAATAGATAGAATTAATTAAAAATAAATTACTTCCCAAAGTTTTGGTTCATAACCAGAATAATAATTTAATATGTTACAATATGTGAGAACTGTTTTTATATTAATTAACAAAATATCTGTTTTTGTTATAGAAACAGATTTCTAGTCAAGCCAAAACTTGTAGTCTCAAGAATTCTTTGATAGCTGTTCTCATTACAACTTGTGATATGAGAACTTTTTTCAGAAGGTATCACACGTAATAAATTCCGATATATTTCTATGAAAAAGTTTCCGAACTTTTCCGAACCCTGGTAAAAACGACTTTCTACCGAAGATACATGAAGATCTACGGCTCTCACTCGTGTATGTTGTCTCGTCAGCTTGAAATTAGCGTTCACGTGAAATCGATTAGAAAGAACGAAATAGGTCGCTGTGATTGGTCACACCGCAATGTGTAGTCCTCGATAAAGACTTGTTCAAGGAGTAACGATTTTTGGATGTAGACGTTCACGTTTTTAAATAAGCGGAATCGGAGGTCAAGTTTTTCAGGTCATGGGTAACGGACGAATATCGCTTGAGAGGTAAATATTTCCAGTGATTCAGCACTGACATTGGGAAGCAAAACCGAGATATATCGTGTCTAAGATCCTTGAAATACCACCTATTAAAAGTACGTATGTATGTACTTCCACTTTTGGCGAAGCTTGAAAAAGGTACATTGCCATATAATTTGCAAGAAAAACCTATGGCGATATCGAATCGCTGATTTCAGTTTTAGTTTTTGCAAATGCAATGAAGTAAGATGTGAAAAAAGGAGTGTAAAAAATTGTACCAAAAGTTACAATAAAAAATTGTTTGAAAGATCCTTTACTTGTTTATAAATTCCGTTACAAATAATTAATCTTCATTAATTATTTATATAATGTCATGTAATTTTTAAATTTAATACGAATTTTACTACAGATAGAGCGAACTAATTTGCAAAAGGATGAATTTTATTTGCATGAAAGGTGAGTATGATCTACAAAAGGATTAATTTTGTGTAGACAGGAAGCTTGTAAATATGGCCTACCAAAAACATTTCTTAGCGAAGAAGAAAATGAGATTGTTGAGGATATGCATTATCATGGTAGGGTCTTATGCCAAAAGGAAGCAGTTGATTGGTGGGTTTCGCAAAAGGAAGTTCCAAAGAAAGATATGGTAGACGTGATTGATATCATTCAAACATCACAGGAAGGAGATGAGAATATATCACATACTCGATGAAATGGGAAAAAGTTCGCATCAGTTGAAATCCATTTAACATGGGAAGAGGAAAAGCGAACACCAGGGACGCCTTCAAGATAGATCAGAGCATTATTAAGGATCAAGCTCTCAGGTAACCACTCATGTCTGATTTCACTGTCCCTTTTATACGAGCAACAAATCATGATTTAGTTCAAGTGAACGAAATAATGCAAGATGTAACGCATATTACTAAAACGATACAACAAAAGATTGGCAAAAAATAAATATTAACTTTCTACAAACCGAGTTTTGTATACAGCTTTCAAATAATTTATGTTACCCAAACCCAGTGAATATCGACCTCTACATATAAATTAACAACGAATTTACAATTTGTTAATAAAAGTGAGTTTACTCTAATGTGTGAAGTCTTGAAAATTACGATATATAACATCATGAATTACGAAGAAGAGAGCAACGGAACAAGATACTATTAGATATCTTGTGGCTAAAATTGAAATGAAATTAAAAGACATTGATAAATCGATATACGAATTCAAAATAACACTGAGCTATATAGGATTAAGTAAACGAAACTTTGAAAGGATCTAAGAGATATATAGGAATTACAAAACCAATCATTGTAATAAATCTTGTCCTCTCTATTCTTGTACTACTAACTGCAGATAATTATGGTACAGTAAATTCTCCCTAATTCACGCTCAGATTGTGTACAAAAATGAAGCCTTGCGGCTCGTATTTATAACTGTATACTCATATTATTATAGTTATATAATATATAGTTATACAAATATGTAGTTATACATAGTTATATAAATTGTCCATTTTTGTGCGCAATCTGAGCAC